AGCGTTTTGAATTTGTTTACTAACTTTGAGCGAATATATCTCAACAACCTCCCGATCAAAATCGATGAAAATTTTTTATTTGAATTCTCTATATTCGTAGAATTAGAACAAAAAAAAAATTATCGAATTTGGTTGAGTAATTATTGAGATATCTTCGCTCAAAGTTCAAAAATAGTTTACAAAAAATGATCAAGAACGCCACCTCAATTTAGGAGTAATTTAGGCCTATCAACAATGTAACTTTTGCCGCCCAGGAGTATCGATTTCGTCCAATCATAATGCGGATGTTCGTTATATTAAATCACATGATATTGGGAAATTCGGTTAATATAGATCTGAGATCAAAAAAAAAAAAAAAAAAAAAAACGAACATAAGTAAAATACTATAAGACACGATGGTTAGAATTTCAGTTTTGGTATGTTGACATCATTTAATATGTGTAGATTATTCTGTGCTATGTACTATATGTTAGTAATTTACCACAAATATTTAGAACGACTGTCTCAATAATATTGTCAACGCAGAAAAACGTGGCAAGCGTCAAGTATTAATTCGACCTTCGTCTAAGGTCGTCGTCAGATTTTTAAGTGTAATGCAAAAACATGGTAATAAATTATTTCATTAATTAATGGAGGCTATTTGAATTATCTTAAATCCATCGAAGTTATAACTGAGCAAGAGTCGTTTAATTTTTATTGGTTCTTGTTTTTTAATGCTTCGAAATATTAAATCTTTTGAGAAAAGTATCTTACACGCCAACTTGTCTTATAATAATAAACATTTTGGTGTTTTATACTTTCTACAATTCCGTATTGCAGTCTTGTCATTTACATTAGCGAACTAAGTTTTCGTGTTTAAACCAGAGTATATCGGTGAATTCGAAGAAATTGATGACCATCGATCTGGAAAAATCGTCATTCAATTAAACGGCCGGCTAAACAAATGCGGTGTCATATCACCTCGCTTTAATATTAAATTAGAAGATGTCGAAAAATGGGTCAATAATTTATTACCTTCACGTCAATTTGGTTTCTTGGGTAAATTTAATATTAATTTGAATTTTAACAAAGATTTCTTTGTTGGAACGATTTCCGTTAAAATTTCTAATGACATCGTTTTATGAACAGTTTTGACCACAAGCGCTGGTATCATGGATCATCACGAAGCTAGACGAAAACATATTGGTGGAAAACTTCTTGGTCTGTAATTTTTTTTTTTCTATTAATTTTTTTATTTTTATTTATTTTTTATTAATCCGATATCGAATTCTCATATAAACTTTTAATAGGATTCTTTTATTAAAAAAAAATAATAATAATAAAATTCTATAATATATTATTTATCTGATATCGTATTCGCATGTAATTTACAGTATTTTTTTATTGAAAAAAAGAACTGGGTCCTTATAATAATGGAGTCACTTATGCTTTAAATTTTATTTCAATGCAATAATCTGATCATTAAATGTTTTTTGCATAAAATTAAATTTAGATTACTCAAAAGTGACCTTTTTACAACTAATCTAAAGTGAAATTTATTTGTGTCAGGTATACCTGTAGTGTTCGGAAGAATATATACTTACAGAGTATCCGTGCCTATTAAAAACAAAGTGCCGTGTGATTTGTTTAAGCACTCTAAAAGTACTACTAGACTAAATATAGATAATTACACTGTAAAGTAATAGAGTATGCAAAAAATTATACTGTAAAGTAAGAGAATGTAAATTATACGTACTGTCAAGTATTGGAATGAATAATATTTAATATTAAATATATGGATAAAATTTATTATACGTACATAGCGAATCTATTTAACGTTAAATACTATATTATTATTTAATATTGATGAGATGTAATTTATATTTCATAATTAAACTTTTTATTGCATAAAGTATATGATTACAATCAATTTTTTATTATTTAAATAAATAAAATACTAATGTCGCTTGTATTATTTCTAAGAAAATATCCAGATTCTTCATTTTTAAGCGATTCAAGCTTTATAACAAATGAATCTCAAAGTACTTCATATAATAATATCTTAAGATCTGAATTATTCAACCTTTCTATGTCCTTTTATAATAATTTTATCGATTTAACACTGATTCAATTGAAAGTGCAAATTCGACAATTACCTCAATTTAGCAATTTCAACTAATACTACAAACTCATCGATTATTACAAATAAAAATCTTTCTGATAGTGAGATTCCAGAAATCAAAATTGTTAGTATATATATTTAGTAATAAATATTTATTATTCTTTATTTAATTACGTATATATACAACTTATATATTTAGATCGATCAAGATTATGATCTTAATGAAATTTTAGAGATTTCTTATAATTTACAAAAAAATTATATATTAGTAAAATTCGATGTTCACCAATTTCAATTGAATATCTTTCAATATCCTTGAAGGATATAGCAACTATTTATAATGTTTCAGAATGGGATAATTTTAATTTAGCACTTTTTGATGTAAGTAATAATTTTATTTTTTATTTTTTGTGTTAAAGATAGTTTATATTGCTGAAGGAATTTTATTAGTGTTGCAAATAAGATTATACATTAATAATCTTTACTATTTGTAATTACATGAAGAGTATATAACAAGCTACATATACAACTTTAGTTATTATTTATTTTAAGTAGTCTGCTACATAGATATTAAGTTACTTAATTGGTTTTACACTATGCTATCATATTTGTAACCTATTTGTGAGTTATCTATTTAAATACTCTGTTTATTAACCTATACAAATCTAATTTAATATTATAGCAACATTTAACTGCTTAAGTTAGCTAATTCTTTACAGATCTATTTATTTAAAACTACTTAGATCTTCTCAGAATATATTATATTTAATATATTGTAGATATTGCAGAGCTAGTTAACCTTGAAGAAAACTTATTAGAATAGTTTGTATCTATTTTATGAATTTACTTAGATTAAATCTTTGTAGATATTCATACAATTTTAGATTCTACTATAGTCTTCTACTAGTCAGTTAATCTAATTTTTTTCTAAAATTTAGTCAGTTCTGATTACTTTTTGCTTAGAGATTTTGAAATCTTTTACTTTTATTATACTGAGTTTTTTTTTTCAAATTAGATTTTAACTAATGTAATCTTGTTAGAAGGTTGTATTACTTTACCAATTTAGGATTTTTATTATACAGATTTCCTGTTTGTATATCTTATTAAGATTTATTTGTATAATATTATATTATATTTTTAAGTTCAGATCAATTTAGTATAACTTAATTTACAAAGTTATGCTCTCAGAAATAGACAGAATTTATTATAATATATCACAAGGTCTAAGAAATTATTCAAATTTATCAACAGTAAGATTTGAACTCCAAACCTATTATATAGTAGTTTAGCAACTTAACTACTATACTAGATCATCAGACTTTTAAGTAATAATTTTATAAAAATATTTAATTATAATTATAGAACTTATTTTATTATATAGATTTAATATAATACTAGTAAAAGTAGTAAAAAAAAAAGAATCGATCAAAAATTCACTTTCTTCATAGATCATTTTTACCAATTCTGAAGCTAAAGAAAAAACAGAAATAAGTTAAAATCAAGACTAAGAAAAAGAAAAATAGCAAGAAAACATATATTGTACAGTAGAAAGACAAGAAAATTTATTGCTACTATAAGAAAATAAAAAGAAGTAAAGAAAATTCAAAAAATTTTTAGAAAATTTTTTAATTTTTTAGGAAATTGTTATTATCTAGAATCGCAGATCAGATCTTGTGATACAAACACATGAAAAACAAGTAAACAAATAGATATATGATAAGAATTGAAGAATGTGATATATAACTGACTAAAAGAAAAGAGATATACAAGATAAGAACTGATTTTTTATAAGCAACCAGAAAAATTCATTGAGAATTTAGTTAAAAAGACAAAATTATTTTAAATATAGAATATAGATACAGTTAAATTAGAAAATAAGAAGTAAAGCAAATATCTAAGACAAGAATCTAAAGATATGTAGAATAGAGAAAAAGCAACAAGACTAGTAGAAGTAGTAACAAAAGAATACAGCAAAGAAATAATAGCAGAAAGAAGTAATATAGTAATAGAGTTAGAAGATCATATAGATAAAATAATTGCAGAGATCTTAGAAGTAGAAAGTAACATAGTAACAGTAACAAAAGAATGGAGAAAAGTAATAGAAAGAGCAGTAATAACAGAAGGAATTGATAGAGTTAAAATAGTACTAGGACAAATAACACAGAATATAACAGAAAGAAGAGAAGAAGTGATAGTGCAAGAAAGTGAGAGTAAATTAGATATAGAAATAATAGATCTAACAAATGCTTTAAAGATAGTTGATAGCATAGAAGAAAAACAAACTTTGCTAGGAAAATAACTCTTAGCAAATAAAAGAAGTAAAGAAAGCTTTAGCTTAATGGAAGATATTAAAGAAATCCAAGATGAAGAAATTTCTAAATCAATTTCAAACCTTTACTTGGATACTATAGATGAAGCAGAAGAGGATATATTACTAGCAGAGTCTGACTCTTCTCTTAAAAAAAGTATCTAGGCACTAAGTAAAGATAGATATAAAGGGAAAAAGATTATAAGAGCAAAGGTAGCAGCTATAAAAGTACTCGGAAATAATATAAGTTATAGAGAAAAGTCTTTAAAGTGGTTAATAGAAAGAAATGTATATCTCAAAGAGGTATCTGAAAAATTTGAGCAGAGTAATTTGTGGTATACATTAATTTTTGACTGTGAGAAAGGCTATGAAAAGGCTAAGAGGAATTTAGAAAACAAAAAAGAGGAATATGAGCAAGCTAAACTTATTCGTAAAAATAATATATAGGAAAATAATACTGCTTAATTCTCGAATATTCAAGATATAAAGATAGCTACCTTAGATATAAAGAAAAAAAGAGAAGAACAGGTGAAATTAGAACTAGAAGAAGTTCTAATGAGAAAGAAAAAAAAGGCTATAATTATTTCAGATCAACAAGAAGATACTAGTAAAGAAAATGTCAAAATACAGCAAGACTTCATCATTTCAAATAAAAACAGAGAAATGAACAAGATAACAGTTTAGGACTTACCAAACTGAGCAAAAAGAACTTAAGTTTTTGAGATAGTTTGCTTTATAGGAAGAGTAGAATATATAGAAATGATCAAAAGTGCATATGATAAAATATGAGCAGAGATTGAGTTCAAAGCAAGCACTTTTGATGAAAAGAAAAAGAATGAGATTTGGTGTTTACCTTTTGTGAACTAAACATTAGTAAGAGTAATAGCAGGTACTAACAATATTGAATTACTTCGAACAAGAAACAGATTTAGCAGAAGACTCTTAGACCTATCAGAAAATATGAATAAAGTACTACTCTGGAGACAAGTCAAAAAATCTGAAGCCAAGGTATTACATATTTTCCAAAATGCTAATAATAATAATATGAGTAGTGCAACAGTATATTTTAAAAACTAAGAAAATATGATAAATATCTCTAAGTTTTCAATATATTATTACAATAATAAGTTAAGATAGGCAAATGCAAATACAAGTAACCAAGAAGTAGAGCTACAGAAAAACCAAAGACTTAAAGATTATGAAGAAAGTGAAGTAGTTACAAGAAGAAGTGAGAAAAGTTTAGGAAAGAAAAAGGAGTTTAAACAAGAAAGTGAATGCTCAAAATATATTCAAGAAAGAATATAAAAAAGAGGAAGCTATCAGCAAGAAGCTTTAATTAGTTTAGCTTTAAATAAGTACAAAGAAAATTGGAATAGGTATAGAAAAGCTCAGATCTCACTAAATGATAGTGAAGAAGAAAGTCATAAAGTAGAAAGGAAAAGTAACTCCTAAAAGAAAATAAGAAGTAACAAAGAGAAGAACTAAATAGGCAAAGCTATCATAGAAATTATAACAGATCTTTAGATAACATAGCTCAATTAATACAAAACTTGAAAGGGAAAATTAGAGATTTGAAGATAAAATATCCAAATTGCTTCTAATTTTTACGCCAGTTGAATTAAAGAAAGCCTTGTATATACAAGAAGGAAAACTTGTATAGCAAAACAAGGCAGAGCAAGAGACAAACCAAATAGAAAAGAGCTTTAGAACAAATAGAGAAGATATAAGTACACAAGAGGTCAGAAAAGTATCAATATAGCAGCTCATAATATAAATAGATTAAAAGGTAATAGACATAAAGTAGAAATATTAATAGACAAGTTCATAGAAGAAAAATATGATATAGTAGGAATAGTAGAAACAAATATTTCTGAAAAAGAGAGCTAATACTTAACGAGCTATTAAGAAAATATAGATAGCTTTTGGACAAATGCAGAAAAAGGCAAAAGCAAAATCTTAGGAGTAGGTATAATAGTAAGCAAGAAATAGTCAAATCATATAGGGTAAATTAGAAAATATAGCAGTTATTTGCTAGAGTTACATTTTTTCTTTAAGCAATTAGAACTAGTTGTTTTTGTAGTTTATATAGCACCAAATAGTCAACTAAGGAGAAAAGAAGTGCAGAGGATAATAACAAAAAAAATAGTTTAAAAAAGACCAAATATGTACTTTATTATAATGGGTAACTTTAACTATGTTTTGCAGCCAAGTATAGATAAAAGTAGTGAAACAAATAGCAATTACAAGAAACTACTACTACATAGCTAGATAGCAAAACAGAACTTTATTAATATGTTTAGAGAGTTACATCTGAGTAAAAAAGAATTTTTATGGAGTAATAAAAAGAACAGTACAAGAATTGATCAGATTTGGATCTCAGAAGGTCTAATCTTCAGTCTTAAAAAAGCTATAATCAAAGAAATAACTCTAGAGACAGATAGTGACCATGGACTAGTAGCAGCAAAAATACTACTAGATCATTTAGACTTAAAAGACAGTTTAGTACAAATTAAAAGAAAGGAGGTTAAAAAGACATAGAAGAAAATTGAAACGATTACAAAAATAAGCTACAGTACCTACTCAGGAAGAAATTAAACAGAAAGTTATGGATAAAAGAACTGTTTGAAGAGATCAATAAAGAATCTATAGACAGCATAGATTTAAACAAAGAATGGGACATTATAAGTAGTAGTATTAAACAAGTAGCAAAAGATAAAATTTCTCACAAAAAGGTACTAAACTTAGGATACAATAAAGCTCCAAAAAAGATCTGTTCAGAATTGCAAAACACAATAAATACAGTAAAGAAAATAGTTAAAGAGTGCAAAAAGAAAATAGAAATGAGTAGAACAGAAGAGAAGCAATTAGAAATTATATGAAAAGCAGAAGAGATAAATAAGAAAACAGAGTCAAGTATAGTAATACTAGAGACTCTGTAAAGCAAACAACTGCAAGAAGAGCTCTCTAGATGGTGATCAATACTAAAAGGCAAACTAGTAGCAGAAAATAGTATAGCTAGCAGACTAGAAATAAATGAATGTATAGATCGAAGATATGAAATGATAAAAGATAA